TCTAATACGTAGTGACGGACCACCAGAAAGTTGACTTTTGTACACACTGGAATGACAATAACGTGATATATCAATGAACAAATCCATAGGAGCCGTGATCAGGGTTCGAACCTACGTCCTGAGTGTTCCCAGACGCGCTCTAGTCAACCGTACCACAACATGGTCAAAAGAAACCCTGAAACCAAAAATATATTTGACCGTGTCCTGGTACAGTGGACAAGAGCGCGTCTGGGAACACTCAGGACATAGATTCGATCCCTCATCACAGCTCCTGTGGATTTGTTCATTGACTTTTGTTACTGAATTTGGAGAAACACGAAACTTTTCCAACTAGAGCATAAATATAAGACCTAACCTGTCAAAACATTCATAGGCCTAATACAGGCTGTCTTAGGCTGAATATAGTACATATATGTGCTATACTAAACCTAGGAATATTTATATTTGGTTTTAGCTTAATTTTTTCCGGATTGTGTAAAGCTAAGAGTACAAAAAGTGGTTTAATGGTGGTCCATCACTACCTGCAGGCGATGAGTCACAATAACGTGGCTAAAGTATGTTGACCAGACCACACACTAATCAAGTCGATCACAATCGACTTGAGAATGGTCCAGGAGGGACCGAAACGTCGTCGTCCCTTAACCTTCACTACCTGTTGGTACTCTGGACCAGAGAGTTACTCCAAGTACTCTCACTCCAGCAGGCTGTAGTGTCCTGAAAAAAAAAACATCTCCAGTAACACATCTACCACAACACTTCACACACCAGGTCAACCATTATGTGGTGTTGCAAGTGTATGGTCAACCATTATGTGGTGTTGCAGGTGTATGGTCAACCATTATGTGGTGTTGCAGTGGCGGAACAATGAGTGTTCTACCACTGTGGTACAACACACATCGTTCCAACTGTGCTGGAAGAGGAACTAACATTGATGAAGAAAATGTGATTTTGTGGCTACAAACCGAGGAGGAAAGAGGCATGACTGAGGCCCGGTTCTATTAAGTCTTGACTAAGACTTTAAGTTCTAGAAACTTCACTCACATGAAGCTCAGAACGAAACTGGAAAAAAATGCAGATTTGGTACAACATTAATTACTCCGAGGGCTAAAAGGTTGTTGGCCCGGCAATATGTGGAGAAGACAGGTGTTGAGAAGGTAAACCCACGCATGCTTGGGAGGTAAACAAACCCACGTGCGCAGACCCAGCAACACGCGCGCTTGGGAGGTAAACAAACCCACGTGCGCTGACCCGGCAACACGCGCGCTTGGGAGGTAAACAAACCCACGTGCGCTGACCCAGCAACACGCGCGCTTGGGAGGTAAACAAACCCACGTGCGCTGACCCAGCAACACGCGCGCTTGGGAGGTAAACAAACCCACGTGCGCTGACCCAGCAACACGCGCGCTTGGGAGGTAAACAAACCCACGTGCGCTGACCCAGCAACACGCGCGCTTGGGAGGTAAACAAACCCACGTGCGCTGACCCAGCAACACGCGTGCTTGGGAGGTAAACAAACCACGTGCGCTGGCCCAGCAACACGCGCGCTTGGGAGGTAAACAAACCCACGTGCGCTGACCCAACAACACGCGTGCTTGGGAGGTAAACAAACCCACGTGCGCTGACCCAACAACACGCGTGCTTGGGAGGTAAACAAACCCACGTGCGCTGGCTCAGCAACACGCGTGGCTGACGCGTGCTTGAGAGGTAAACAAACCCACGTGGCGGTGTTCTGGCTCAGCAACTCGCGAGTGAGGTGCGTGCTAGAGACGTAAACAAACCCACGTGGTGGCGGCGGTGGCGTGGGTAGTCCACACCTGGTCCAGCCAACTGTAACAAGCATTTCCGCGCCACTGGCCCCGCTCCTCCCCCCCCTCTTGCCGCTGCACGGCCTGTAAACATTTGCAATACACGCACCTGAAAGTCCTTAAGGTGTGCAAATGTTAGAGAAACAGCTGAGCAACATCAACATGCTAGGTGTTATTCGAAATTTATTATGACAAATGTTTAGGTTTTCGAATGTTTTTTAGCCTGAGTTGCTTTTTAGCAGAGTTTCTTTCACCCTATACCCCTGTTACCTAGCAGTAAAATAGGTACCTGGGTGTTAGTCAGCTGTCACGGGCTGCTTCCTGGGGGTGGAGGCCTGGTCGAGGACCGGGCCGCGGGGACACTAAAAAGCCCCAAAATCATCTCAATATAACCTCTGTTATTAAATTCAATATTAAATGTTTCCCTTTTCGTGCTATAGAATGTATCGCTCCATGATAGTGTTACCATGATAAACAATACCATACTCTACTGGACCACGCGTCTCCACACAAGCTAAAGATGAAGCATTAATTACACTGTTGGTAAACATTACCCCAGCTCTGTAAATACTAGTAAGCCTTGCTAAACTTTGCCTCACCTCACCTGGGGGCCTCGTAGCCTGCTGGATAGCGCGCACCACTCGTAATTCTGCGGCGCGGGTTCGATTCCCGCACGAGACAGAAACAAAATGGGCAAAGTTTCTTTCACCCTGAATGCCCCTGTTACCTAGCAGTAAATAGGTACCTAGGTGTTAGTCAGCTGTCACGGGCTGCTTCCTGGGGGTGGAGGCCTGGTCGAGGACCGGGCCGCGGGGACACTAAAACCCTGAAATCATCTCAAGATAACCTCTCAAGATAACCTTACTAAAGGAGCCGTGTGAACATGTACTAAAACTATCTCCCACAGTATATATATATATATATATATATTATAATACACACAAATTCTGAGCTCTTTGACCTTTGAGCTATAGATTAAGCAACACTGTAACGTAGGGGGGGGATATAGATACTAAAAGATACTTTTAAGTGTGCTGTTGGTGGAAGTGAAGCAAGTGAAGAATGACACACACACCTCAGGTGCTCTGACTCAGGCAGCGGCCGACTGTTACTTTACATTCAAATATTCAACACAAAACAGGTTTGTTCATTTACGGGCTCACCATAGCCCGTGCTACATGGACACTTCGTTCTGAGTAGCTTAATCAGAAACAATAAAACACAAAACAAGTCTCCACAATCTTACAACACTTTACACTCGACGAAAGATTGAACTTCATAAGGAATGAACTTTATGAACATAAAATCTGAACTTCGTTCAAGTGATAACTTTAAGTTGTAATCGAAATATTTTAAACAAAGTCTTCAGTAAAATATAGACCAAAGGCTTCGACTCCCGGCAGCTGTTAAAGTGTTTACTTAAACAAGTGCATTACGTACTGTAAGTCAATGAATGAATTTCTTTACTTAAGCAAACATCAAGAATGAAAGTAAGCTACTTTAAGCTTACAAGACTCACTAATGACGGGACCGTCTGTCTGTCTGTCAAGGAGACAATTCCCACTTGTCAATTCCCCCCCCCCGGACCCCCCGGACCCCCCTTTACACTGACTAGACATAATCCGTACTCCAACAGGCTCCTTGATCACATTACGCTAACCTTGGCCATAAAGCCTCACAAATATAGAATTCTCTTGACTTAATGACTTAAACAGCGGTGGTACAAATTTCAATTAAATTAAACAGATGTTATATCTATCTCCGTCTCCCTCTATCTGTCTGTCTCTGTCTCTCAGGCAGTTGGCTGGTATGTGACCTCTGACCCCTGGCAGTCAACATACCTCACTAATTACTGATTACAGCTGCACCTCCACTGACACTGACTCAACTGGCCTGGCAGGGCTTCTGCTTGTTCTATCAATCTCCATCATTTAATCCCAGATCTATCTATCTGTCTGTCTGTCTGTCTCTGTCTGTCTGTCTGTCTGTCTGTCTCTCTGTCTGTCTGTCTGTCTCTCTCTCTCTCTCTCTCTCTCTCTCTCTCTCTCTCTCTCTCTCTCTCTCTCTCTCTCTCTCTCTCTCTCTCTCTCTCTCTCTCTCTCTCTCTCTCTCTCTCTCTCTCTCTCTCTCTCTCTCTCTCAGCCAATCGTGGGAGATATACCTCCCAATCCCCAGTAGAAATATGGTAAGTCAAGCCCCCCATGAATGACTTGTTTAGTCTATTCTAACGAGCCTTACGCTATGACTTAACAACTTACCTGCGCTGGCAACTGTGGCCATAAAAAGTAGTTGGATTAGAGGGTAGAATGAGGGGAAGAGAGACGGACTTGGGCAGCACTAATTCAAACAGGGAATTATCTCTGTATTTGTGGTTGTATTTTTTCTGTACCTGTAACCGTGTCTACCTGTACTAGGGGGTTGTTACTGTCAGAACTCGTACTGTCAATCTGAACCCGTCAGTGAACATCCCCCGTCACATTAGAATGTGCTCCTACCCCCCCCCCCCTTCTCCCTCTCTTCCTCACATTCTAATTAGGAAAAGGTTTCATTGGGTTGTTCATCCTGTCACTTGTACCTAGATGTAGCTGTGTTGTTCATCCTGTCACGTGTATACAGACACAGGTGTTGTTCATCCTGCCACGTACACAGACACAGCTGTTGTTCATCCTGCCACGTACACAGACACAGGTGTTGTTCATCCTGCCACGTACACAGACACAGCTGTTGTTCATCCTGCCACGTACACAGACACAGCTGTTGTTGTTCATCCTGTCACACGTATACAGACACAGCTGTTGTTGTTCATCCTGTCACACGTGTACAGACACAGGTGTTGTTCATCCTGACACGTATACAGACACAGCTGTTGTTCATCCTGCCACGTACACAGACACAGGTGTTGTTCATCCTGACACGTGTACACAGACACAGGTGTTGTTCATCCTGACACGTGTACACAGACACAGGTGTTGTTCATCCTGACACGTGTACAGACACAGCTGGGACTGACTTAACTGTCTCAAGTGACCAGACTGTCAAACAAGGACATATACCATTTACCAACCCTTGACCTTACGTTATCTTGTGGGTGAAAATGGGCAACATTTGTGAAAGTCAGTATCTGCTCAACTCTTGTTATATGTGTTGAAGATTTTGTGTTCAAGACTTACGTGTGTTTCTCTCTCTCTTCCACAGAACAAAATTGTAATGTGCAACAGGAAGTGCCCGAGCCTGGAAGGGTGTTACTGGAAGATGGAACAGGATCCCAAACAGTGTTGTCAGGTCTGCAAGGGTGAGTCCCCAGACATGCCTCAATACCCATCATGATACCCTATAATAAGCACCTTCATACCCATGATACCCACCATCATACCATCAAGAGCTACCATGATAATATGGTTTTCCTTTGCTTTTGGACACCACATATATATATTCACAAGTCTGACTTTTAACCCCAACACCCGACAGCATTCGTGACTTTATTGGGTACAGATAATACCCCAATCTGTATTCAACGTGCGTTCATCAAATCACTTCAACGTGCTGGAGCCGCATGGGCACCAATCGTGCGTCAAGGGTGAATGGTCCCCCAAGCCAACATGCATCAGATCACTCTTGACCCGTGAAGGATTCCCTGGCTGACCGTGTTTGAATCCTTCAGGTGTCAAGAGTGTTCTGATGCATGTTGGCTTAGGGACTATTAAAGCTTGACGCTTATATGATGCCCATGCGGCCCCGTCACGTTGACGCGATTTGATGAATACACGTTAAATACAGATTGGTGTATTATCTGTACCCAATAGTCACGAGTGCTGTCGGGTGTTGGGGTTAAAAGTCAGACGACTTCCCAATACTGGTGTACACTCTGTGGCTGAGTGGTATACACTGGTGTGGAGGAAAGGTTACGGAGGCTTGTCATGAAGCGCCTGGTCTTACCTCTCGATGATTAGTCTCTAAACTAAGTTTTGTGACACGTAAGTAACGATGATAACCACGCTAATGACCAGCTTGATAACCCTCATGTGTTGACCTCCAGGGTGCGAGCACAAGGGTAAGTGGCACCAGCACGGTGCCCACTGGTCAGACGGGTGCCACCACTACCAGTGCCTGTCTGGGGTCCTCACCGTCTCCAAGACCCAGTGCCACCTGCCTTGTACCCACCCGCGCCCGGCCCACGGCTCCTCCTGCTGCCCAACCTGCTCAGGTTAGTCTCTCCTGCTGCCTCACCTGCTGAGGTCAGTGCCTGGGTGGTGGGGGGGGCGCTTCCTGGTTCTTTTAGGGGTACAGGTGAAGGAATAAACTTAGAAATAGGAAATATAATGAGAGTTATGACAGCAGGCGGGCTGTCCGCCTTGCTGACACCATGTGTGAGTGTTGGCAGCTAAGCTAAGCTGGCTCTCTCTTGTCAGGGACCTGCCAATGTACGGTTTTTCGCGTGTTTTTCAACACATGGAAGTCTATAGATGAATAATATGTAGCATTACAATATATACACTCAGATGCTTGTGTACATGTTTGCATGTTATGATTAATAGTCAGTTTTGTTATTAATTATTATTATTATTATTTGGGTGGGGAGTTCTGATCATTATTTTATGTAGGAATTATGTATTGTGGCCCACCAGCTGTGGGAGTGGGGCGTCTCATCTTGGGCCACCAGCTGTGGGAGTGGGGCGTCTCATCTTGGACCACCAGCTGCGGGAGTGGGGCGTCTCATCTTGGACCACCAGCTGTGGGAGTGGGGCGTCTCATCTTGGGCCACCAGCTGTGGGAGTGGGGCCTCTCATCTTGGGCCACCAGCTGTGGGAGTCGGGCGTCTCATCTTGGGCCACCAGCTGTGGGAGTGGGGCCTCTCATCTTGGGCCACCAGCTGTGGGAGTGGGGCCTCTCATCTTGGGCCACCAGCTGTGGGAGTGGGGCCTCTCATCTTGGGCCACCAGCTGTGGGAGTGGGGCGTCTCAACTTGGGCCACCAGCTGTGGGAGTGGAGCGTTTCATCTTGGGCCACCAGCTGAGGGAGTGGGGCGTCTCATCTTGGGCCACCACCTGTGGGAGTGGGGCGTTTCATCTTGGGCCACCACCTGTGGGAGTGGGGCGTCTCATCTTGAACCACCAGCTGAGTGGGGCGTCTCATCTTGGACCACCAGCTGTGGGAGTGGGGCGTCTCATCTTAGACCACCAGCTGTGGGAGTGGGGCGTCTCATCTTGGACCACCAGCTGAGTGGGGCGTCTCACCTTGGAGTAATCTTTTAGCATTGGATCTTCTAAATTTTCAATGGTGTTGCACACCCTGATGCTGCTCGGGTCAGTATCTGGAAGAGGCTGGAGAGGCAGCCTCCCGTTGACCTGTTGGATATAAGGCAATGCAAAGATAACATTTTGTCGTTTGTGCGTACATGTGTGTGCATTTGCTGTGTGCCTGCTGAAGGAACTATTAGCTCTTGGACCCCGCCAGTGAAGAGATGAGGTGATATAGGCACAGAAAACACTGTATAAACATCAGAGGTCCACGGTTGTTCAACGTCCTCCCAGCGAGCATAAGAAATATTGCCGGAACAACCGTGGACATCTTCAAGAAGAATCTAGATAGTTTTCTTCAAGAAGTGCTGTGACTCATATGTCAGGCTGCGAGCAGCCTGACATATGAGTCACAGCACCAACCGACACAGCACCAGAGAGGTGACCAACCGACTTGTGGGTATGTGGGCCTGCGGGCCGCTCCAAGCAACAGCCTGGTGAACCAAACTCTCACAAGTCGAGCCTGGCCTCGGGCCGGGCTTGGGGGAGTAGAAGAACTCCCAGAACCCCATCAAGAAGCAGGTACAATCCAGGAGTGTCCGCATATGGGACATATGATACCGACGCTACCTGGCATGTGTCCACCTCAGGTGTTAAGTGTTGACATTATATCCCCTGCTAATGCTTTCTCTTTCCGGTTCCTGTTGTTACCTTCCTGGTTGTTCCTGGTTGTTCCTGTAACAGCCTGGTTGATCAGTCCAGCAACCAGGAGGCCTGGTCGACGAGGGCGGGGACGCTAAGCCCCGGAAGCACCTCAAGGTAACCTCTAGGTAAGGTAAAGTAACCTTCCCCCTTCTGGTGTAGATACTTCCCGGTCTCCTTTCTCCCTTTCCCATCTATATTACCTTACACGTTATCAATCTATAAATATACAAGAGTTGTTACATTCTTGTACAGCCACTAGCAAGCGCAGCGTTTTGGGCAGGTCCTTAATCCTAATTTTCCCCGGAATACGACCCGCCAAATTGTTAAACAACCAGGTACCCATTCACTGCTGGGGTGAAGAGGCTACAGTTAAGGATTGGCGCCCAGTCAATCCTCCCCGGCCAGGATACGAACCCAGGCCAAAGGGCTCTCGAAGCGCCGGGCGAGTGCTTTACCACTGTGCCACAGGGACAGCTAAACAATGTTGGGAGTGAATTCCAACAACCATTTGATAGCCCAGTTCTGGAGTTGTCAAGGACCCCCTTGAATTTCTCGTAATTCTCTGGTTTTATGTTCCTGATGAGCTTTGCGTCACCAGCAAACATCGGCACGTATGAGCTCACTCCTCGGGTAGGTCGTTCACATATATTAGGAACAGTGGAGGTCCCAGGACCAAGCCTTGTGGGACCTCGCTGGTGGCATTCCTCCAGCTTGAGACCTCCGCCCTCACTGTGTGCGCTTTCTGGCCTTCAGATGCTAAACCCTTAACCACCTCAGTGTTTACCCAGTTATTCTCGCCTCTTTCTCTATACACCAGTCTCTCGCGAGGAACTGTCGGTAAATGCACGTCATTTGTTCACTATTCAGACACATTCTTTCTAATGTCTCTATGGTTCAGGTGGGGACTTGGTTTCCATATCTGTATTTATATCATTCGTGTATCTATCTCTGCTGGATAGTTTCTCCTTGTCTGCCCTGTCTATTCCCCTGAATATTTGTTAAGTGGTAATCATGTCTCCTCAGGTTCTTGTCTCCCAGAGATGTAAGCTTTAACTTTCTTCTTTATTTGTTAATCTTTCCTTGTAGCTCATATCTCTCAGCTCTGGGATCAGTCTGGTGGTATACTTCTCAACTTTCACCAGTTTTGTTTTGTGCTTACCGAGATAAGGACTCCACGATAGTGCTGCACATCACGGAATTGATCTGACATAACAGATATACAAGTGCAGGCGATGAGTCACAATAACGTGGGCTAAAGTATCGATCGACTTGAGAATGGTTCAGAACGGACCGAAACGTCGTCGTCCCTTCACATTCTAGTGTGTGGTCTGGTCAACAGAAGTCTTGTTCAAATTCCTCACTTGCATTTTCCATCACCAGCTGATGGAAACTGCTGGAAGATGGAAGATGTTTTGAGTCGGGCTTCTGGTGGCAGTTTGGAGGTAACATCAACTCCCAAGTTCATTTCTCTCTCTGATTCCTGGACTGTTTCCTCTCGCATGTGTTACCTGGTGTCCGGCCTCCTGATCCCACCACACAGCTCCGTTACTTTACACTTGCTTATGTTTAACTTTAGAAGTCATTTGTGGGACCATTCTTACACTTTGTGCAGGTCATAGTGTACTTTCTTGTACTTATCCGTAGTATTTATCCTCCTCATAGTGTGTGTGTGTATGTTTACTATTTGCATTTACTATTTGTACCTGCAGAATTGAGCTATTAGCTCTTGGACCCCACCTTTCTAACCAATTTATTTTTCTTCTACTATGTTTACTACATATAATTCTCTCTAACACACACACAGGAAGCAGCCCGTAGCAGCTGTCTAATTCCCAGGTACCTATTTAACTGCTAGGTGAACAGGGGGCATCAGGGTGAAAGAAACTCTCCATTTGTTTCCCCCTCCGCCGGGGATCGATCCCCGGACCCTATGACTACTAATACCGAGCGCTGTCCACTCAGCCGTCAGGCCCGTGCGTGCGTATCAGGACTCGAATGTTTGGCAACGTGGAGGCTTCCCTCCCCCCCCTCCTGCAGGGTTCCCCCCCCCCACCAAACATGCAGTCAGGATTGTCTTTTTTACCGTCTCTCCCTGTGTGTCCAGAGGTCAGAGGGAGGTCACGGGGTCGAGTGTACCCGCTGCCATTCAAACTACACACTTGTCGGCTCACAGCCGCCATAGTAAACAACGTATTCTTCAAACTTTACTGTGGGTCCCAGCGTGTGAGGAACACCTTCCAGTAGCTACACACACACACACACACACACACACACACACACACACACACACACACACACACACACACACACACACACACACACACACACGGCGCTCACGGTCTGAAATCCAATGTTGCCTTAACAACATGTCAGTGGTTACTGATGGATGCTTTTTCTACTTGCTTGGGGATGCTTTTTTGTATTTGTGTGTGTGTGTGTGTGTGTGTGTGTGTGTGTGTGTGTGTGTGTGTGTGTGTGTGTGTGTGTACTCGTCTATTTGTGATTGCGGGGGTTGAGCTTTGTCTCTTTGGTCCCGCCTCTCAACTGTCAATCAACTGGTGTACAGGTTCCTGAGCCTACTGGGCTCTATCATATCTACATTTGAAACTGTGTATGGAGTCAGCCTCCACCACATCACTTCCTAGTGGTGTGTGTGTGTGTGTGTGTGTGTGTGTGTGTGTGTGTGTGTGTGTGTGTGTGGTATTCTTGATTCAACGTAACATACAATGATGACCTTACAATCAGGGACTAAATGCATGTAGTGTATGATATTTCCAGCGTAAGTTACATACACAAGTTACAATGGTGGTCAAGTATTATCAATAGATAGTGGCAATGAAATAGAACTGGTAAGAATTGTATTTACAGGCAGAATATATTTTACAAGTGCTATACCCTCTCCCCCTCCCCCCCACCTCCCTCCCTCCTACATTAGGCAACACAGATCTTACACACAGCATGATTTTGCAAGCAATATATGCACGTCTTGCAGTATGTAAACTTGGGTTGTTTGACTAAGGTTTTGGAAGTATGTAGTCATTGCTTTAACATTAGTGAAAAGATGCTGCTGAATTCTTGGATTTGATTAACATTTAGTTACATATTGAGGTAGACTGCGAGGGAAGGTTTACATTTAGTCTACATCAGCAGATGAAGTAACAACCAAGATATTGTAATATCCAAGAGGCTGTTGAAATAATTGGATGGCCCATAGATATGTTGCTCGTATAGTAATCCGATAATTGATGCAATAGCTAATGAT